AAGGAAGTGGCTCTTTAGGTCTTCACAGGAAGCCACAGGCCTCTTTGGCCTCAGCTCCCTCCAGCTACTGCTGGCCCAGGCCCCCTTCAAAGCTGAATCCAGGGATACCCTATACCCGGCATCACTCTCTGCGGCCCAGCCAAGGAGAAGTGTATGTGGTGTATTCTTCTCGTTTCCTTTAGATCCCCGTGGCTCCAGTCTAGATGCACAGGCTGGAGGCCTGGAGGTGAGACCTGATTGTAGAGGGTCCTGAACGCTGTGCTGGGGAGTTTGGACATCCCAGCATTGCAGGACTGAGGGCCTGCAATGCAAGGGAGAGGAGGAGCAGACATCCTCAGGACTGACCACTTCCGTGAGCTTCAGGAGCTCCTGCTGCAGAGCAGGGGCAAGGTCTGATTCATTTTGGTCTTCAGCATCCGCGGTGGGGTCTGCCCCAGTGAGCGCCGGTGGTAGGGGTGGAGCTGCTAAAGGATGATGCCAGCGGAGGGAGATTCAGGGCGGGGTTATACTGCCACCTGGTGGCCATAGCTGCACATAGCGCCCTGGGGCGCCGAGAGGTCTACCCTGAGAGGGAGTGAGTGAGTGGACTTTCACGGGTCTGGGGGCCAGGGAGGCCCTTAAAGAATAAAAGAAATCCCCACGTGAAGGGATTTTATTAAAGAGAAAAACACCTCTCACTTGAGTCCTTGGGAAAGACATTCTAGGTCTAGATGAGAGTCCAACTCCTCCCCTCTTCCATTTCATAGACTAGGACACTGAGGTCCAGAGAGAAATGATGAGGACAGAGGACCTCAATGTTGTTTTCCATCAAGTCAGCCACACAGATGGGATCTATTTTGGGACTTGTCTTAGGGTGTGGTCTCAGAGTGAGGAACTGCCCTGCTGGTTTCTAGTCACTCTCATTTGTGACCAAACATGGCCTCTCTTTGCACCATCACCCACCTTAGTCACCAAAGTTGGCACCACAAGGTGGCTTTTGGCAGCTTCTAAAAATAAAATCCACTCTCAGAGGGCCGGGATCAGACAAGACTGAGAGGATTCTGGAGCGTGTGCTTCAGGCTCAGCAGTTTTAGGGCAGGAAGTACCTCAGAGACCATAATATCCAAGCCCCCGTGTTTTAACAACGAGGAAGCCACGGCTCAGAGAAGGCAGAGAAGGGAACTCGCCAGAGGCACCACCTTCTTTCTGGGCCAGGACTCAGCTCTCTGTCTCTCTGAAGGCCATTGCCAAGGAGGAGGCTCAAAGTGCATTAGCATCTCCTGACTTGTTGCATTAGTGAATTCTGGTTTGTGTTCATCTTTCTGCCTCACACTTTGTTGACACGATGATTGTGACCCATGATGGCTCACAGGGGTCTAGGGTGGGTGAAAGGAGAGGGGGCACGGAGGTGGTGACAGGGAGGGAGAAGGGGGTCCTAGATACATGGTGGGGGGTCCTAGTTTGTGCCCTGTGGTCTCCAAGGAGGTAGGAACTGGGTCTCTTCCACTATGGTGTCCCCAGCAGCTGGCACAGTGCCTGACACAGGCCGGGTACCCAGTGAATGTCTGCAGGAGGAAAGCAAGGAGCCATCCTGCTTAGAGCCAAGGGATCCTGTGGTAAGAAGAGTGTCCCCTTGGGGCGCCTGGGTAGCTCAGTGGGTTAAAGCCTCTGCCTTCAGCTCAGGTCATGATCCCAGGGTCCTGGGATCAAGCCCCGCACTGGAGCTCTCTGCTCTGCAGGGAGCCTGCTTCTTCCTCTCAATGCACCTGCCTCTCTGCCTACTCGTGATCTCTGTCTGTCAAATAAATAACTAAAATCCTTAAAAAAGAAGAAGAAGAAGAAGAAGAGTGTCCCCTTAAAGATGGGTTGTTCTCAGTGTCATTCAGTCTGAGAAGTGCTGAGGCTTCAATCTGAAATTCTGGGGACAGAGCTGTCAGTTGCTCTCTGGCTTTGAAGATGTTCAAGGGAATAAGATGCCAAGGGAAGGGGCGCGGGGGTGGCTCTGTGGGTTAAAGCTTCCAACTGATAGTTTCGGCTCCTGTCATGATCTCAGGGTCCTGGGATTAAGCCCTGAGTCAGACTCCGTGATCACCATGGGGTCTGCTTAAAATTCTCTTCTTCTGCCCCTCCTTTCTCTCTTTCTTTCTCTCTCTTGCTCTCACTCTCTCTCTGGCAAATAAATAAGAGGTTTTATTTTTTTGCCAGAGAGAGAGCGAGAGCGAGAGTGCACAAGCAGGGGAAGCGGCAGGTGGATCCCACGGAGGAGGCATTCTGAATAAATAAATCAATCTTAAAATAAATAAATAAATAAATAAATAAATATTTAAAAGATTTTATTTATTTATTTGACAGACAGACATCACAAGTAGGCAGAGAAGCAGGCAGAGAGAGAGGAGGAAGCAGGCTCCCTGCTGAGCAGAGAGCCCCAATGCAGGGCTCGATCCCAGGACCCTGGGATCAGGACCTGAGCGGAAGGCAGAGGCTTTAACCCACTGAGCCACCCAGGCGCCCCATAAATAAATAAATCTTAAAAAAAAAAAAAAGATGCTGGGACACCTGGCTGGCTCGGTCGGTTAAGCGTCCCTGGTCAAGCCCAGGGGTCCTGGGATGAAGCCCTGCATCTGCATCCGGGCTCCCTGAGCAGTGGGGAGCCTGCTTCTCCTGCTCCCTCTGCCACTCCTCCTGCTTGTGTTCTTTCTCTCTCTGGCTCTCACTCTCTTTCAAATAAATAAATAAATGGAGTCTTAAAAAAAAAGTCAAAAGAATAAGTGAGGGGGCATATGCTCCTGGGACAGGGTGCCCACCCTGAGGAGAGAGGAAGAACAGGGTCTGTGAGCTCTGGAAAGTAAACCCTGACTGTGAAGTCACATGATCCAGTCCCTGGTTGTTCTTCAGCTTTTTCCTCTCTGCTTTATCCCTTCATCTTACAAAGGAGGAAACTGACTCACATGAAGTGATAGAACTGGCATTAGGTCTGTAGGACTCCAGAGGAAATTCCTAAATTATGCTCCACGGCCTTGTTTGAAAAACCCAGCCTCAACGCTAAGAGGTTAAAGGCCTCTTTACTCTGGTAAAGGGTTTACTCGGGTTTACTGGGTTTACTCAGACCAGTGTTAAAGGCGGTTGAGCTTCCCCATCCCCAGGCCTACATGGTAGTGACAGTGGGTGTTACCGAGGGGCCCGAAGGAAGGAACTAGAGGTCTGGTCATCCTTCCCATGAATACTAGGGAAGGTGAAGGGACAGGTACATGGGAGGAGACTGGCCTCAGGTTCAATTCTGCCCACGTATATGAGCACCTACTGTGTGCCAGGCCTATGTTAGGTAATGGGGAGGAGAGACAAATTAGAGGCAATGCCCTCCCTGAAGGTGTTGAAGGATACACACTGTGTCTCTGGAATGACAAACCCAGCTTGTCTAAACTGGGGTGTAGGCCTCGAGGAGTAGAGTGTGATGCCTGAGACTCCCCCTCCCTCTGTAGGCAGAAGTCCATTCTCGGCCCCTCTATGGATGGCCCTAGCCAAGACAGGACTCTGCTGAGGCCCTATATGGTGAGTATCAGGTCAGGGGACTCAGCCCGGCTTTTGTTCTTGGACACAAGCCCTGAAGAGTGTGTGAAGAGCAGGTGGTGTCTCTCCCTCCTACACGCCTCTTCCTCAGGCAGTGTTTCTCTGGGGCCTGGGGCAAGTCAACTGAGGCACACAATGGCCAGCTACAGAGATGGTGTCAGATCTCGGGATAGGAGCAGGCAGGAGGGGACCTCTTACCCACCCTCCCACACACATCAGTAACTGGAGAAGAATTTCTGGATTATAAGTGGGGTGAGGCAGGGCAGGGGAGGCCTGAACACAGCTGCGGTGGCCCTTTTGTGACCAGCTTTTGTGGTTCACACATGACCACTTCCCAGGGATGCAGAGGGAGGCTGGTCTGGTCTGGAGACTGGTATGCCCACTGAGAGATCAGGACCCTGGTGCTGGCACCAGGCCTGTCTTCACTGCCATTTGATTTCTGGGACTTCTACGCCCCCCACCCCCGCCCCCAACCTGGGTTCAGTCACCCTGGTTCACCTGGACAGGCCTTGCTAACTTTGGATCTCCCCAAAGGTTTGGGATGGACTTTTCTTTCCTTTCAGAGGGTATAAAGGCTCCAGATGCCAACTGTCCACTTGGTCCCCAGAGTTCTCGGAGGGAAAGAGAACTGGCCGAGCCCTCAAAAAGCTGCTGTTCCCTGGCCTTAGAGTCTCCATCTAAGGGAGAGCACTCTGTGCTTCCTCAGAGAATGGAGATCAGGCTTCTCCATCTCTGCCTAATCAGAAAAGTAGCTGGAAGCTTCTCCCACTGAGAACAGACTGAGCTCTGCCTCCCCAGGCACCCTGTGAAATCGAGCCCAAGTGCTCTCGCTGTGGCAGAAGACTCTGCTGGGAAGGAATCCCAGAGGAGAGGCTGTCTCAGCTGGGTTATGAGCTTCAGAAGGACATTTGAGGCAGAGAGAACAGCACGTGCTGAGGCCCAGAGACAAAACCACCTGGTTGCGGTCCAGGAAGCTGTGGTTGGCTGCAGGGGAGAAGGGGTCGGAGGTGTGTGGAGAAGGCAAATCAGGGGGCAGATCTTGTTGGGCTTCTCACAGCAAGGGTGACTCACAGAAGGGCGAAATTTGTTTTTGTTTTAAGATTTTATTTATTTATTTATTCATTTGAGACATAGAGTGAGAGAGAGCACATAAATAAGGGGAATGGCAGAGGGAGGGGGAGAAGCAGGCTCCCCACCAAGCAGGAGCCTGATGTGAGACTCAATCCCAGGACTCTGGGATCATGACTCGAGCCAAAGGCAGAATCTGAACCGGCTGAGCCACCCCAGTGCCCCAGGGCAAAGCGTTTTGTTTTCTTTCTTTCTTTCTTTCTTTTTTTTTTTAAAGAATTTATTTATTTATTTGACAGACAGAGATCACAAGAGGCAGGCAGAGAGAGAGGGGGAAGCAGGCTCTCTGCTAAGCAGAGAGCCGGACACAGGCCTCGATCCCAGGACCCTGATATCATGACCTGAGCAGAAGACGGAGGCTCCCAGGTGCCCCGGCAAAGCGTTTTCTGATCGAATTTTACTCCGTCACCGAGGAGTGTGACAGAGAAAGCTCTGGACTACGGCGGGAAGGAGTGGGTTCCCGACTGCTGCTGGCTACTCCTCTTCCTCCACCTCCTCCTTGCTGTTTTCCAGGTGTCTGTGGACGGTGTAGCCCAGAAAGGCACCAATCTTGCCCATGAGGGCACTGCCACCACTGGCCCCTAGGAAGCAAACATCACCAGGTCACTTGGGGCCCAGGCACCAAACCTGGGAATCCAAATGCCAGGAGACCATTAGTGAAGTCCAACCTCTTCGTTTCCAGTTCGAGAAACAGGGGCCCCGAGCCCGGACAGGACTTCTGCAAAGTGAATCCTAGTTCCCCCTTGACTTGCCATCTCAAATCAGAGATGTGTTTCAGAGATGGAAAATACACAAATAACAGCTCATTCCCTTCACATCTGCAGTGAGCACACTGTGTTACTAATAATGCTAACAACAGCCACCTCAGTGGAGACCTCCCTGTGGGGACTGGGGGTTCACTAGTAAGGGATTTCATCCTCCTCGCAAGCCTGTGGCATGTACAAGCATCTTACAGCAGCACAGGGCTGTTCCTAGCTTTGCCCACACCCTTCACCTCCCACAGCTGGGGTGTGGCCTGATCTGTGTCTTCTCTTCTGCCCCCTCCGAGAAGGACTCCATTCTCTTTTGGGCTGGTTCTTTGAGCTTTTGTCATCCAGAATTGAGAGCAGATGGAAGATTCGGGAAGGCAGAGGGGAGTCTGCCAGGGGCAACTTTTCTCTAGGATTTTGGAGGCCTCAGAGAGTGAGTGAGGGAAAGAAAAAGAAAGAGCGAGCAGCGAATGTATTTTTTTTTTATTAAAAAATTAAAAAAAATTTTTTTCAGTATAATCTCTGTGCTCAACATGGGGCTTGAACTCACAACCGAGAGATCAAAAGTCACATGCTCTACCAACTGAACCAGCCAGGCACCCTTCTCCACCATCTTTCTTTGCCAATCTGGTTCCCTGATTGAGCAGATTCATAAAATGTTATATTGAGGATGGTCATCCCTGTTAACAGATGAGGAAACTGAGGCTTGTTGTGACTTGGCCAAAGCATCAGTGAGGCACCTGGCCTTTGTGGTTAAAAGCGAGGCATAAGACGAGGTTCGAATCCTGGCTCTGGTGCTAATTCACTGGGAGAACTCAAGTAAATTACTCAGTCCCTCGGTGCCTCAGTTTCCCCACTGCAGGATGGAGATTGTAAGAACACCCGACTCCTAGAATTACCGGGCTCTGGCATCCCCGCAGGAGGGTCCCGCGTCCCCACTCACCGAGGCTCTGCAGCGTGGCCACCAGCCCCCCGGCGGGCACACCGCCTCCGTTTGCCACGGCCGACCAGCTCATCAGGGAGGCGGCCACCGAGTTGGCGGCAATGCCAGTGCTCAGGAAGCCCAGCGCGGGCAGCCCTGCTGCCAGGAGGCCTGGAGGAAGAAGAGGTGATGAGAGAGAGCCCGCGACAGGGGTGCGCCCCACCTTCCCGGGCTTTGCGCCCTCCGGACCCACCTCCTCCGACAGCCATGCAGGTCAGCGCGCCCCATAACCCGGAGCCTTCGCCTTCCGAATCGTCTTTTTTCCGTTGTCGTTTGCCTATCGGGAGGGGACAAGGTGGAATGGGGAGCAGGGTTCCCTACTCTGTGCCGGATGCTCAAAACCACCCCCATCCTTCCATTTCGGGGAGCCTCCCTGAAGGGAAGAGATCTCCCCCGAGGCGCCGTGCCTGGCGCAGAACTGGCACCGAGAGTACCTTTCGGTGGAACGGAGAAATTGACAGGTGGGGATTCGAATCTTGGACCCTGGCTACAGCGACCCGGAGCTGGCCATCGTAATGGCCCTTCTCGTCTGGGAACCAGGGATCCTGAGACTCTCTGCCGGGACTCCGAAACTCTGTGGGCTTTTTTATCCCACAGCCCTCCCAGGTGCGGGGATCCTTACCTGCCTCCACCCCGCCGCAGGCGCAGAGCAGCAGGTAGCACAGGAAGAGCGATACCGCCTCTTGCCGCATGGTGGCGCCACGCGTAGGCTTTGTCACTGGCCTGGAGGAGGGGGAGAGGGACCAGATGGTTTCCAGAGCCCTTTTGGACCTGCTCGGTGGTTTCCCCGTTCTATTGGGGCGAATCCATAAAAAGCAGCGATTTGCTCTGGATTGAGCCCAGGACCCTTCTAAGGAGCCGCGAGCTTTTAATCTCCTCGTGGCAACAACACAGCAAACTGTACAGCCTAGACACACACTCAAGACTGTCAGAATTCAAACATTATGGCACAGAATAGGAAAATACATATGCCCCCCCCACACTCACCTCTAATGTGATCTTTGTCAGCTCAATGAATTTTCCTTCAATTAAAAACGAATAAACTCTCATATATTGAGGACTTAGCACTTTATGGCACAAGGTCATTTATACCCATAACAACCCCATGGGGCAGATACCATTGTTCTCAATCATGTGTTATAGATAAGGAAGCTGAAACTGGGAGAGGTTAAGTAATATTCCTAAGACTGCCCAGCTAGGAAGTGGCAGTTGGATTCGAACCCACAGTTGACTGATGCCCAAACCCATACTTTTAACAACCACTCCAGGTAACTTCGTCTATCCTCAAAGATGAACTCACTGTCACCTTAGATCCTACATTAAAAGGGGTTTCAGGAATCGTCCAGTCCTTTGGGCAGGTAAGGTAGCTTGGTCTCCATTTTACAGATGACCAACTAAAGCCAAAGAAGTGAAGTGCCAGTGTTAATTAAGGCCACAGATTGCTGAGTTGGTACCTATGACCTAAGTCTCGTGCCTCTTAGGGTTTTGTACCCCAAGCCCCTAAAAGCCCCCAACCCATCTCCTGGGACCAGTCCTAGCCCATGGCACTACAAGGGACCCAGGGGCATAGCCTCCCTGAGGAATGGGTGTCCTGGCTCTTGGGGCATGAGGCTCACAGGCAGGGAGCCTTGCAGAGTTTGGCAGCTGGATATTCACACTTCGTAGCTTCTGGGTTTACCTTGGAGGGGGAAGAAGGTGAATCTTCCTTTCTTTCCCAGAGCCCGACGTTAGATGGGAACAGCAGTGAGGCAACAGCTCTCCAGCTGAAGGCTGGCTTTTTATAATCACATTTGGACGCCCCCCCCCCCCCCCCCCCCCCCCCCGGCGGACCAATCCCAGTCCGAGTTTCCATTTCCTGGCCTCACCCTCGGTTTTCTTTTTCCTTTTTCTTCAGCTCTGTTTGCTCAGTGACGGCATCTCTGCGATATCCACGGGCAGAAACACGTAATTGAAGCCAGGGACTTTCTGAATAGCTAAGAGTGTTCAAAGCAGATCATGCTACCGTGGGATCCACGACCCCATTGGGCCTCATGAAGCCCAACCACTAGCTCCTCTTGGGATGCAGAAGCCTTTCACAATTCAGTTCATAATAATGCCTACCCATTTATCGAGCACTTTCTGCATAGCAGGGCCTATGTAAAATACCTTATGCACATGATCTCTTTCCTGTCCCACAACAGTCCTGCAAAATATCATCTATTGTTTATAATCTTCACTCTGCAGAGCAGATTTAAGCTTGTGGAAATGAAGTCATTCGATTGCATGTTTTCTCAGGTTGGCTGCTTCTGGGTGATGGGTGTATGGTAAGACTGGTGCAGGCCATGTGCATGAGGCCATTGGCACACAACCTTTGTCATAAAATGGGTCCTCTGGTTCTGGTAATAGATTGAGAATTCTTTAAACCTTTGGATAGTAATGCTTGCAGAAGCACAATGGGTAAGAAATGCAATCCATGTTTGGAGTACACAGCAGTTCTAACAAGGATGAATCATAGCCTTCTCCAAAGCGGAAGGGGGCTGGTGTAACTGACCTGCTACCAGGTGGCTGGCCATTCTCCCCGACCTATGCAGCCTACAGTTAACTGCAGCCTACTGTTCCCTGCTGGGTTATTTCTTGGCAATTGCTGGATTAACTTTGGTGAGAGGGAGCCCAAGTTTTGGGATCCATTCATAGCCTCCGTCTTTGCCACCATGGCCATTTTAAAATGGGTCTTTTGCAAAGTAATAGAGTTGCTAAGTTCAGAACCTAGTTGACATCCACAATATGGGACATATGACCATCTGGCTGGACAGCCTCCAGCCACATTGTCTCTGCAGGATCATGTAATCCATTGGATTTAGGCTAAACTCCATCTATCACCTGGCCTCCGTTAGTCCCCACTCTAACCAGAAAGCGATGTTGGTATTTTGTGTCTCTTAGTTTCTGTGTCAGGTCAGACTCCATGTCTTTAATAATCTTTTGAAAATGGTGAATATTCTTCTCTTTCCAATGCACAGTTACCCCAGCAAACGACAACAGATCCCTTTGGGAAAGGATAGGAGGAATATTTACTATATGTAACTATGGTATCACTCACTGCAGAATTGTTCCTTAATGGGGCATGACCTCTACTGCAGTCAAGGTGTTCCGTTCTGTGAACTTAGATCTCAGATCTGGATGAGGGTCTGTGATTTTCCATTGTGGCAGCTAATGTCAGTCTTCCACTTATCAACTCTTGGTTTTTTAAAAAGATTTTATTATTTATTTGACACAGAGAGAGAGAGCACAAGCAGGTGGAGTTTCAGGCAGAAGGAGAAGCAGGCTCCCCACTGAGCCGAGAGCCCCATGCAGGACTTGATACCAGGACCCTGGGATCACGACCTGAGCCAAAGGCAGACGCTTAACCAACTGAGCCACCCAGGTGCCTTTTGATTTTTTTTTAGTGATATAAAAGTTGAGAGGGGGCACCTGGCAAGGAGCATGTGACTATTAGTCTTGGGGTTATAAATTCAAGCTCCATGATGGGTATAGAGATTACTTACAAATAAAATCTTTTAAGCTTTTTTCTAAAAAATATTTTATTTGAAAGAGAGAGTGCACTCATGAGAGTGGGGGGAGGGAGGGGCAGAAGGAGAGAATCTCAAGCCGACTCCATGCTGAGCATAGAGCCCAATGGGGGGCTTGATCTTATGACCCTGAGATCATGACCTGAGCTGAATCCAAGAGTTGCTTAACCAACTGAGCCAGTCAGGCGCCCCAAAATAAAATCTTTTAAATCAATCAATTAATCAATCAATCAAAATTGAGAATTACCCAGTCACCTGTCCATCCATCCCATCTCCATAGTCAACTTGCCATAGATCCCTGCAGAGCAAGGCACCCTCATTGTCACTTTGGCCTTGCTGCCCATGACAGTAATCATAGTCACCTGGCCTTGGATGTCACCTCTGCCATTCTGGAATCCCAACATTACTGTTCATATTGGGAATGCCAGTTCCATGGCCACATCTTTTACTCTTCATCTCAGCCTACCAAAGACAGACACCACTAAGCTACTCAGAGATGCTGAGGTCCATTTCTCAGTGAATCCCTCATTGCTTCGGTAAAGAGAGTATCCTCTGGGCCCCTCTTAGAGAACATAGTTAGGTGCTGAGTTCTTGGATCTTACATTTCCACCTCCTCAAACTTTCTGACCCCTTCTTAAATACTCTACCATGGAAATTCTAGGATCTTGACTTGATTTATTGTAGGCCACCATCCTGCTTTAAAGAACCATCCTTGCAAAGTATTAAGACCATATTTCAATTATTTATTGCTGAGTAACAACCCTCCCCCCCAAAAAAAACTTAAAGGTTTCAAACAACAATTATTTAATCAAACAAATAATCAAACAATTTATTATTTCTCACAATTCTGCAATCTGGGCTAGGCTTAGTTGGGTGTCCATATGCTTCGTGTGGTATTTACAGGTGTTTTTAGGAGAAGAAATGTCCAAGATGTCCTTTTCACGTACGTAAATGGCACTTCAGCTGGGATGGATGGAACCCCTGTGGACTGATCAGTCATCCTTCTTGTTTTTTAAAAAAAGATTTTATTTATTTATTTGACAGAGATCACAAGTAGGCAGAGAAGCAGGCAGAGAGAGAGGAGGAAGCACGCTCTCTGCTGAGCAGAGAGCCAGATTCGGGGCTTGATCCCAGGACCCTGAGATCATGGCCTGAGCCGAAGGCAGAGGTTAACCCACTGAGCCACCCAGGTGCCCCCAGTCATCTCTTTTTGAGAAAGATTTATGTATTTGAGAGAGAGAGAGAGAGAGAGAGAGAGAGAAGGAGCGGAGGGAGCAGGGGCAGAGGGAGAAGGAGAGAGAATCCCAAATAGACTCCATGCTGAGCATGGAGCCCAGTGTGAGGCTTGATCTCATGACCCTGAGATCATGACCTGAGCTGAAACCAAGAGTTGGATTTGGATGATTAACTGACTGTGCCACACAGTTTCCCCAGTCATCTTGTAATATGGTGTCTCAACATGGCTAAATTGTACTTCCTCACAGTAAGAGGGTCTCAGTGTGGGTCTTACATGGTGGCTGGCTTCCAAGAGGGAGGAAATGGAAGCTGCCAGTCTTCATGAAGTTTAGGTCTGGAACTGGAACGGTGTCCTTCTACCATATTCTGTTAGTTAGGGCAAATCACAGGACCAGTCCAGATTCAAGGAGAAGAGGAAAACAGACTCCGTCTCTTGCTGTGAAGTGTGGCACATATATAGAGGAAGGGAAGGAATTGATGGTGACCATCTTTGGAAACTATCTACCAGCAACAAGGTCTAGCTATCCCTTTTTCCCTTTTTTTTTTTTTTTTGTTGTTGTTGTTTAAAGATTCTATTTATTTATTTGAGAGAGAGAGAGAAGGAGAGAGAGCACAAATGGGGTGAGGAGCAGAGGGAGAAGCAGACTCCTCGCTGGGCAGGGAGCCGCATGTAGGGTTCAATTCTGGGACCCCAGGATCACGACCTGAGCTGAAGGCAGATGCTTAACCAACTGAGTCACCCAGGCGCCCCTGAGATCTAGCTATCCTTGCAAGAATATTGAAGACTGTGGGCTGCCTGTCTGGCTCAGTCAGTGGAACATGAACTTTTCATCTCGGAGTTCTGGGTTTGAGCCCCACATTGGGTGTAGAGATTACTCAAAAATAAAATCTTTTTTTTTTAAAGATTTATTTATTTATTTATTTCACAGACAGAGATCACAAGTAGGCAGAGAGGCAGAGAGAGATGAGGAAGCAGGCTCCCTGCTGAGCAGAGATTCCCGACTCGGGGCTCGATCCCAGGACCCTCCCTGGGCCCGAGCCGAAGGCAGAGGCTTCAACCCACTGAGCCACCCACACGCCCCTCAAAAATAAAATCTTGAAAAAAAAAATTTTGAAGCCTGAACTATGGGACAGTGGTCTACGATGATGAGATCCCTATTAGCCAGTCTTACGTTCTGCCATACCTGCCCCCTCACAACCATTTCTAAAACCCCCAAGATCTCTCCTATATATATTAACTCTCCCATATATATTAACTATATATTTTTTGATTCCTTTGATGTGTAGCTTATTTTTCCAGTTCAGGACTTAAATTTCCCCACTCAGGATTTGCCGAAAACTGACCCCGGTTATTTGAGGAGGTGATGGAAGCAGGTCTTGAGGAGAATAAATGTCATCTTATGAGGCATCTGCTTCATGTAAGATTATTGCGCAGTCTGGGAAAATTGTTCTTCCTTGGCAAGAGGGCGGGATCTGCTCTACCCCCCAGGAAAACTCAGGAGAATTTGAGAGATAAAGATTCTTAGGTTTGTCTGCCCTAATGTCTCTATCCCAGGTCTCAGGGTCCAATTCTTTCCCTGTCAGGACTTTGACTCTGACGTAGGAGACCTACTAAAGTTACAAATTCAGAGTCATTTCGGGGACTCCTGGGGGGCTCAGTCATTGAGATTTGCCTTCGGCTCAGGTCGTGATCCTAGGGTCCTGGGCTGGAGCCCCAAGCCGGAAGCCTGCTTCTCCCTCTCCCACTCCCCCTGCTTGTGTTCCCTCTCTGGCTGTCCCTCTCTCTCTCTCTCTCTGTCAAATAAATAAATAAAACCTTTAAAAAAAATAGAGTCCTTTGCAACTGTGCCACTTACAATCTACCTGATCCTGGATGTGGTTTTTTGTGGGTTTTTATTTTGGTTTTGGGGTGTTTTGTTTTGTTTTTGTTTTTTTAGTCTTCCCTTCAA